AGGCCTTAGAATCTGCAATCCATTCCTTGGTAAATCACTTACTGTGCTATTTCGCACCGACTTTTGGCGAGCTATATTCATTTTGCTTGAGGGACTGTTACAGGTCGGTAGAAGGGGTAAAGGAAGAGGGTTGGGAACGGAAGATAAAGAGTTGAACAAAGGTTGGGATATCTGTCTAAAGTGTACCTTCAAGTACCTATAACACCTTTTTCTGAATGGATGAAAAAATATCAAAAATTATTGCAATTATGAAAATCTTCATCGTGAAAGAATCAGTTATTTTTTCAAATGATTTATCTACTCGTTTATTTGTTGGTTGTTTTCGTCTAATTAAATACCTGCACGCCCACTCCCCTGCGATAAACGCACTGTGGAAGCTTATCACGTGTGAATTCGATCAGCAACTGTTACAAGTCCAAGGTCTGTTTGGTGCATTAACTCCAAAATTAGAGATTGGATGGCAAGCTGCGACATCGGCCGTCACCGGCCCAGATTGTGATCAATTCATTCGCGACTCATGGCCCCTCATGGTTCGACCGATCACCCCGGGAAATCATGGTCCGCACGGTGCAGTTCCCCTGTCCCACTCGTTCACCTGGACTCGATTTATTCCCAGACTAGATGAGACTGTCTCATCTCACGATTCCGTATCTACGGACACAGGTGGGCTTAAATGGTCACACGATATTTTAGATTACCTCTTTGCTACCACTGAACTCAACCCTAAATTTATGTTATCTGAGCAGTGTCTGTACAGATTTGACCTTGAGTTTAAAAGCCTTGCGCTAGCGCTTCACTACAACACAAGACTCTTAAATTTCACCCAGGTGATCTTCAGCCATAACGCAGTGGTGTCCTTAGTCTGTTGTGCCAAGCTTTTATACCACGGGAACACTTGTAGTAGTATGTCGGATGATAAGCAGAGTCAGCAGTTGCCTGGAATTATACTCTGTCAAGTGCCTGGCGTGCGCTAAAGCAGCGGGTTGCAAACAACAAGCAACAAAAATCAATCGGTTTCGAGTGGGTGGGGATGAATAACCGTTTTTTTGTTTACTGCACGTAATTCCTTTTGTCCTTGTGTGAAATGTAACTTATCGATTGTCTGCAAGTTTTAGTCACCTCGAGGCATACCGCTAGTCACGTGGCTGTGATTTCCCGTTAAGCCGATTGAAACTACCAATGAAATGCAAGTGTCATAGTCATCAATTTATCCCGTGTGATTCATCCTTTTTGTCTTGATTTGCGCGCCACTTTTCTACCGTTTTGCCGTGGTTCCATTGCCAGACAGAATCCGTTTACGTTGCCCTTTGCATATCACATAAGTGCCACTGATTTGGTTTTTGCCCTTCAACCAGCTCAATCAAATGACTCGTAAATAACTGGGAAATCATACTTGTCACTTGTGATTGAGGTAGATACACGACCACATTTTCCAACAACAATTACAACATTTACTTATACAGTTCACGCTATAAAATGACAAAACCCGGTACAACTTATACCACTTCAGAGCCAGGTATAATGTTCTCCGAAGTTCATCACTTTTCTGATGAACGTGAAAAAATCTCTTTTCGATACTGTACATCAAGCGTTTGTACGAGGACTGAGCAAACGTTTTCCTTTGTTATACGAAAATAAGCGCTACATTCAATCAAAGTATTGTTCACCANACACTCAGTCACAGTAGCCAAGGTCTTTAATAATCGATTATGTTAATCCCGAGGTCCACACCCGGTTGGTCGAACAGGATCTACTTGACCAAGTAGATTGTCACACGAGGGCTGAGCAAAACGTTTCCGGACGCAAAACAGTTTTATTTGTTACACACAAATAGGCAATATGTTTGTTCGAAATTTTCTCCATCTCCAGCGTTTATGCACAGTTCCATGAACTCAAACCATTTGGTGAAACACCTCGATCATGC